CGCCGCCGCAGCCGCGCGCCAGCCGGCCTGCAGCCTCTGGCGGCCCTGGTGACCCGGCGGGACCTGCAGGTGGCGCCCCAACGACCAGAGGGCCAGCCCGTTCCTCTGGCGCGTAGGGAAGGGCCTTCCCATCCGTCTGTCCCGCCCGGGGCTTGGACTGCTCCTTCTCAGGAAGGCCATTCTCCAGGCTGGCTGGCCAGCAGGAGGGTCGTTCTCAGAGAATGTGCGTGCAGAGTCCTTGTCATTTAGGACAATTGGGGCCCATCTCTTGCCAAGTGTCTGACCCCATGGGGTCGTTCTGTGTTTGCATTTCAGCAAATGGCTTCTGGGAAGTCCGGGCTGCTGGTCCAGGGTTCTATGATATTTGTAGACGCAGGGGCTCAGCGCTCTGGCGTGTAGACGATGTTCTTCGTGGCCTGTTGCTGCTGGTCCAGAGGGCCTGGCGGGTGGGCCGTGCCGTGGGCACATTTGCCTTTTGTGAAGGCGGAACTCAAGGTGTATCCTCATGGGAAAGAGGGTCAGCCTGTAGTGGGCGGAAGGACCACGCAGAGCCAAGGCGAAAGGCCCCTGGCTGTGTCTGGTTGTTGGGTTGGGGCTCACAGTGGGCTGTCTGGGGAGGGTGGGGGTCTCCGCGGTGATCCTTAAAGGATTCCTCTGTGTGGGCGGGTGCACATGGGCCTGACTTGGTACTCAGAATTTGAACTCTCGGTCATGTGGGAGCCCATGGGGCTGCTCTGCAGACTTCTAATAAAATCGGACTATTCAGCCCTCTGTGGTCGGTCTTTCGTGCCTCACACGTGTCAGCCACCAAAGCGGCGGTCTGCAGGGCTGAAGAGGAGTGGGCACTGTCATGGTACACAACCACGAGTGGGAGGTGTCCATGCCAGTGACACAGGAAGAAGGGCGGGGTCCTGGCTGAGGGCAGAGGAGGCAGGGGAGAAGGAGGGAAGCAGGGTAGTGGAGTGAGAGGCAGGGGAGAGGCAGGCTGGAAGGAGAGCCGGCCTTGTAGAACACATCAGCTAGCCCCTGTGTGCAGTAGGAAAAGATATGGTGGGAAACCTGAGCTTCTGCCCCAGGCCTCTCACTAGCTCTCTGCAGGTCGGGGTGGGGGCAAAGTGATGGCTCCAGGGTCTTCCAGCTCGGTCCAGCCGAGAGGGACCCAAAGGCTGCCACCTGCAGCGGGGCTCTTGATGCAGCAAAAGGGGTTCAGCTGGGCCAAACACACCGCAGATGTCTGCTCCCACCCTGGTCCTCCCCACAAGGCCGGCAGCTCCTGTCCCTGGACTAGCTCCTGGGGCACCTGCTTGGCTAGCCCACAGGTGGCTGCCCTGCTCTCCTGTAGGCTGACCGCTCGCCAGGGCTGAAACAGACAGTGCTGGCGACGAACCCGCCAAGGGCAGGCCCTTGCTTCAGAAAGGGCACCTATTTTTAGGCAGACTACAGGGTGTTGGTTGAGTCTGCAGGAACCTAGAGGCACCCAGGCTCCCCAGGGGGCAAACTCCACCCCGTGGGGAATGAAGGAGCTGGACGTGGGAGCAGAAGACATTCACATGTTTTCAGAGCCGTGGGTCCCAGCCAGCCCTCCCTCCTTCCTGATCAGCACCTCTCTCCCCTCTGCCTTCCATTCCTTTCCACCCACTCCGCAAGAGATGTCCATAGGCACCCCCTCCAGGCCAGCCCGGTGCCTGCCAGCGGCCTCTGGGGTCCCTGCCGAGCCCCTGGGAGGGGTGAGCAGGGGACCGGGAGGCTCCTTCTTCAACGCACACATTTATTGCATGAGCGGCAGGCACATCAATGAGCACACATCAGGTGTGCCTCCTGGTCAGACTGGCGCACAGGCGTCCCACTGCCCAGGGTCCTCGATGCTTGAGGTCCACACCCCTCAGGGGCAGTCCCTCTGTACTTTTCCATCCCAGGCCTCCCCACCCGGAGCAGCACACCCACCCCCTTGGAAGACACCCGCAAGGCTGCCTCCCCCCTGAGGCCTTGCCTGATGCACTGTCCACCAGCCCCCTCCCCTGAATCACCCCTGGAGCTCTGAGTCTGTGCTGCTCCACAGGCCTGTGCTCCCAGGGGCCCTGCCAGGCAGCTGGTGGCATGCCCAGATAGAGGCTGGGGTCCAGAGACACATTGTAACGGGCCCAGGGTCACCTGGGAGGCAGGTGCCAGAGCCACCTTAAGGGCCTTCTGTCTGCTTCTGACACTGGGCTCTCTCCCACAATGCCCAGTGCCTCTGAGGAAGACACATCCCTCAAGGGTCTCCACGCCAGCTGCGGCTTCCTAGAGATTGGCCCTGAAATCCGTCCCCACGACCACCTGTGCCTCTGCTCCAGCTTCGGAAGCTTTCTCAGCTTGTTCCCTGCAAACTCCCATAGATTCCCCATCTTGCCATAAGGTGACCTCCTCCAGGGAGGCTCCCCCGCTTTCCCCTGCACTTTCTGCGGATCCAGCCATCGAAGCTGCATCCTCCCCAGCTGCACGTGCATCTCCCACCCCGAGGGTCCCTGACTCCCCCAGTTTGCATGGGACTTGTGGCACCGACAGTCCTGCGTCCCTGCAGAACCGGGCTGGTGGGTCACATGCGCCTTCGCGTGCGGGTACCAGGCTTCCAGCCGCACTCCCTGAAAGAGGCAGGTCTCTGGTGGTCTCCAAGCCCCCGGTGCCCCCTGCACGAGCTCAGAGCACACGAAGTCAGCATCTGGCCGGCTCAGTGGAAGAACAACAAAGACGACAGCAGTCCAGACGTTCTGCGTTGGGCTCGCCTCCGGCCCGGGCCTCTGGGACTCCCGCCCGGCGGGCCAGAGTCGGCCCTGGAGCCGCCGCGACCGCGCAGGAGGGCGGGGCGGGCCTCATTAGCATAATCTATGCGCGGGAGGCGTTTAGCAGTCAAATATATGCGCATATATCTGCATGGCTGATGAGACTGGCCGGGCACATTCAAAATGGCGGAGTGTGGAGCGAGCCACAGCGGGAGCAGCGGGGACAGCCTGGACAAGAGCATCACGCTGCCCCCCGACGAGATCTTCCGCAACCTGGAGAACGCCAAGCGCTTCGCCATAGACATAGGTAGCCGCGGGCGGCGCGGGCAGCGGGCGGCGCGCAGCAGGCGCGGGCGGCGGGGCCAGTGGACCGGGGGCGGTGGCAAGGACGAAGGGCGGGCCGCGGGCCGTCGGCGCGCACAGTCTTTCGGGCCTTGTAGTCCGCGGCCGCCGGCGCACAGCCTGTCGGGCCTTGTAGTCCGCAGGCTGCCGGCGCGCAGGCTCGCCACGGCGGCCGCACTACAGCTCCCGAAAGGCGCCGCGCGGCCGGAGCGGGGCATGCCGGGCCTTGTAGTCCCGCGGGGAGAGGCCCGGTGGTCTTCCGACTTCTGGAGGGTCGGCAGCCCGGCGCCTCTCCTGGCGGCCGAGGGTGGCTGCCCCGACCGATCCAGGGCCGGTGTCTGGGGACGGGACGAGGACGGACGGCAGTCCCAGCTCTGGCCGCGGGAAGCCCGGGCGGGCGGCCTGGAGCGCTGGGCATTGGCCGCAGCGCAGGCGCCCGCTGGGCCCAGCCCGAAGCCCGGCCCCTGCAGGCTCTGCTCTTGGACCGTAGAGGATTGGCGGGAGTTCCGACGGCGTGGACGTGGACCTCGGGACCTCTGCCGGCCTCTGGTCAAGCCCCCGGGTCTCCCGCGGCCTAGAGGGGGCCCCCAGGGCCCCGCATTCGCCCTGCCTCTCCTTATCCTAGCACGGGCCTGCGGGCGGGTGGCTGCCTCGCCCTCTCTCTCGCTGCCTGGTTGCCCCACTCACCCCCACTGCTCGTCTGATGGCCAGTGCCCTGAGTGCTGACCGGGCAGCAGGCCCCGTGCTAGGCCCTTCTCCCATACGGACGCCCTGACACCCAGCGCCCTGCTTTCACAGATGAGGACACTAAGGCACCGAGAGATGCACCAACTTGCCTGAGGCCACCTGGCTGATAGCGGCCCGCGGAGGCGGGCTTGGAACCTGGCCAACCCTCGGCCACTCTGCCCTTCTGCCTGTGTATCAGGACGGAGGGCTTCCTGGGGGCAGCTTCACCCGATGAGGCCCCTTGTGTAGGCCACAGCGGCTTTCACACGCCTGAGTGGCCTGGGTCCTCAGTTCCCACCTTGCTAGCCGTGGTGGGCTAACAAGGGGCACTGCTTTGGGGGACTGGCCTGGTGGCCGGTGTGAGATGCCTGGAGGCTGAACGAGGCAGAGGATGGGCAGGGGAGCAATCTGAGGGGACCTCATAGAACTCGGTGCCCGACTGGATGGCCTGGCTTAGGGGGTCATGCACAACCGGACCTCTCCGGCGGCTCGAGTCAGCCCTTCTGGCCCACTGTGCTGTTGTCTGCGTCCTGCCTGCACCATGGTGTGCGACGTCCAGTCGGGCCTGTGCTCTGAGGCTCCCGGCTTTGTTCTGCTGCCGTTACACTTGGGGGCTCTGCTCCACAGGAACAAGTCGACACTTAGTGTTTCTGAAGTGCAGCTGAAAATTGACTGCCACGGGGCTTCCCTCGGATGTTCTGTGTGGCCCCCAAGGGCCAGCTTGTAGCCACAGTGGAAGGAATGTCCTGGCTCTGGGGGTCCTGGAGTGGCCTGTCCTCCAGGGTCAAGCCCAGGTGGGGTTCCTTGGCAGAAAGACATACAGAGGGATATTTTTAGTGTTGATATTTATTTCCTGTGTTTGAAGTTTCCCCTCGGTCTGGGTCCTGTGTCTCTGGTTCCTCAAAGACATGCAGGTTTTAGGAGGTCACAGCTGGAGGTCGGGGTCCTCAAGCCAGGCGTCCCCCAAGCCAGTGTGCTTGTCAACGGTTGGTTTATAGACAGGCTTCTCCTGTGTACTCTTCCCTCGCCCCAGCCTCTCGGTCCGGCAAGGCTCAGCTGCCCTGTGATCTTGGCGAGTCCTCTCCTCTCCCAGATGGAGCACTCGTGTCAGCTGGGTGCAGTCTCGCTTTGGAAGCGTCAGGGACATTTTGTCTGTCAACATGTACTTGAAGCTGACGTGACTTCAGGTTTCTGCCGGGCAGCGGGGAGGACCCTCAGGTGAAGCAGAAAGGGCCACAGGGCGCTGCCGTGTGCTGGGGTGTCCTGTGCCCCTTGGCGCCCAGAGTGGAAGGACAGGCCCAGAGGGTGGCAGGGAGGATGAACTGGAGGGTCTTGGCTCAGGTGTGGAAGGCAGAACACGGGCTGATCCCTGCTGTCGGTCAGGGGTGCTGTGGGCCCGAGTGGAGTGTGGGCTGGACCAGAAAGCCAGAGGCACCACCAGGGAGCGGGGGGCTGTGCACGGTCCCCAGCCTGGTCACTGTGCTTGTCAAGTGTGACGTGTGGAGCCCGGGAGCCAGGAGCCAGGTTTGCATTCGCTGTCATTCCACGGGATCCTGAGAACAGGCGTGCCCTCTGCCCTCCGCAGGTCCTGCTGTTCTGCTCTGAGCTCTTGCTGGTTCAGACGGACCGCCCCGCTGCGCACGTCCCCACTCACACCCAGACCCTTCCGGGAGTTGGGGGGGCAGGGAGACGAGCCTTGGCAGTGCTGGGCCTTGGCCCACCACCCCACCAAACCCCAAGACCTTCAGTTTGGGCTGTGGTTTAAGCTTAACGTAACACAATCTGAAATGACTTCTGTGACCCGGGAGTTTGTTTATAATGACTTTTGAGGAGTCTCTCAAAACGTATCTTCATCCCTTCACGTCCTTGTCTTTTTAGGAAATGATTTATTCACGGAGGTGAATGGACAAACAAGCATTTTAGTGAAAGACGCTCCGGGCCAGGCGGGGACCAGGTGGGGAGGAGGGATGGGAGGCTCACGACCGAGGACGGCCTCTTCAGCTCACAGTCCGGGGACGGGAGGAAGCCTGTGACGGCGGGGTTTACTTACTGCACCTGGGCCCCTCCACACGGCCCGGCGAGGGCACGTTGCAGGATGTCCCGGCAGGTCCCGTCCCCACTGCCTGGCAGGCGGCTCAGACAGGACAGGCTGTGACTGATCTCGGCAGTGGTGGTTTGATTTTTGTTACTTGGAGGAGCTTTGGCCCTCGGATACCTTGGTGTGTCCACGTCTATTTTTGGACCGGAGTGTTTCTCACATGCAGTCATGCGCCGCATAACGATGTTTCGGTCAACAACGGACCACATACGTGACAGTGGTCCCATAAGATGAGCGCCATAGGGCCCAGGTATGTCCTAGGCTATACCATCAGGTTTCTGTAAGTCCACTCTATGATATCCGCACAACGACATCACCTAACGACGCATGTCTCAGAATGTGTCCCCCCGTTAAGTGACGCGTGTCTTTCCCTTAGTATTTTGTCACAAAATAACCATTGGAAAATATTTTTAGCCCTCTTCTTGTAGTGAGAGATTTCTGTCTTATTTTTGTCGGGCCCCATGAGAGATGCAGTTTGGTTCAGGGTCATTTTGTGGGGCCGAGCCTCGGGCCTCTCCTCCCCCCTGCCGTTCGCGGGCTTTCACAGCTGTGAACGCACCTGCAGCCTCACAGCTGCCCCGCCCCCGATGCGGAAGGAGGCTCCCAGAGCTTGTCCTTGACGTGCTGCTCCGGGACCTCTCTGACAAGCCTTGAAGAGAGTTCCAGGCAGATAAAGGCCCCTCCTGCTTCCTACTCCTCAGTCTTGGCCAGCGTCCAGGGACGTCAGGCTGTCGGGGCGTTAACAAGGCCCAGCCGCGAGAGGGAACTTGTGCTCCTGGTGGCCTCCCTTGGCGTCCCCCACCCCCACCCCAGGCCTCGGGCTGCCTCCCAGCCCAGAGCCTCCGGAGGACAGGGCTGCCACTTTCTGGCCCGATTCCTTGAAGGTCCCTGGTGAGAATGGCCCCTTCCCCGCCCGTCCGCTAGAGCTGGGCTAACATCCGATCCAGTCCTCTTTTTGCTGAGGAAGACTGGCCCTGGGCTAACATCCGTGCCCATCTTCCTCCACTTTATATGGGACCTGCCACAGCATGGCTTGACAAGCGGTGCGTCGGTGCGTGCCCGGGATCTGAACCTGCGAACCCCAGGCCAACGAAGCACAGCGCACACTTAACTGCTTGCGCCACCCGGCCAGCCCCTGAGTCGTTTTCAAGATCAGAGCTTGAAATAGAATTTTCCTAAAACACTGAGGAGCACCGAGGTCATGCAGACATGGGGTGGCTTCCTTTCTCCTCTAGGGCTTGGTGTCAGAAGGGAGTAGACAGTCCCGAGCCTAGTTTCGTCTGGGACCTGAGGAGGAACAGACCTTTTCAAAGGAAGTGGAGTGTTTGGGGCTCACGGTCCACTCCCTTCCTCTGCCTAGGGTCTGCATGGTGTTGAAGTTCCAGTAGCACCGGCTGCCTCGTGCGCAGGACCCAAGTCTGGCAGGAGAGAGCGCGTGGGAGGGTTCTGAGTTTGCTGCGTTTGTGTTCCCCCGCAGGTGGCTCACTGACCAAGCTGGCCTACTACTCCACCGTGCAGCACAAAGTCGCCAGAGTGAGGTCCTTCGACCACTCGGGCAAGGTGAGCCTCCTGGGCTGCCGGTCGGCAGCTGCGGAGAACCCCGGGGTGGCCAGAGGGCCTGGAGCAGGTCTCACTTTCCATCCCTCTGCTGCTCGCCCATCAGCTTAGCTTCCTGGAAGTTTCTGGTGCTGATACTCCTCCCTGCCTCCTAGCTCAGTTCCCCTTCCACCCAGGACCCCGCAGGAGCGCCGCCCCCCGCCCGTGCTCCTTGAGCAGTGTGTTCCTCCCTGGCCCCAGGGCTCTGCCCATCCCCGCTCTGCCTCCTCCCTGACATTGGCATCTAGAGTCCCTCGATTTCAGGGTTGACGGAGCTCGTCAGCGCTGCTGGGTGGGTGCTCAGGGGCCCGTCTCAGCATCTCCCCTCCCCCACACAGCCCACACATGCTGGTTCCCCGACTTTATCCCCAGGACACAGAACACGACCACGAGCCGCCCTACGAGATCTCCGTGCAGGAGGAGGTCACCGCTCGGCTGCACTTCATCAAGTTCGAGAACACCTACATAGAAGCCTGCCTGGACTTCATCAAGGATCACCTCGTCAACACCGAGACAAAGGTCATCCCGGCCACTGGGGGTGGCGCCTACAAGTTCAAGGATCTCATCGAAGAGAAGCTGCAACTGAAGTGAGTGGGGACCACAGGGTGGCTGGCGTCCGTTCTCAGGGTCGGGCTCTGAAGCGGTGCTGCAGTAGACCCAGCTCCTGCCCCGACCCCGTCCTGCTCTGAGGATTTCTAAGACCCCACGACCAACGGCGAGGCTTTGGGCACAGGCTGGGGGCTGTGGGCCGGGCTGGCAGGAGGACTCGGGTGGCCCAACCCCAGGAAGGTGTGGGGGACTGCGAGTGGTGGGTGGGGTGCGTGGGGACAGGCTTAGGGTGGAGGGAAGTGAAGGAGCTCTGCGGAGGAGTTGGCCTGCTCCTGCAGGCAACGCTCCCCGTCCTGCTGGGACGGGTTCCCGAGGGCCATGGCCTGCGGTGGGAGCCGGGGCGGGGGCCGTCTGTACCACTGCGGAGTGCAGGTCTTCGGGTGCATCCAGCTGGCTTGGGGTCGCTGGCCCGTCTCTGGTGAACTCTGTACGGGGGTGGTAATTTTATAAGTTGCTCTGTTGGTTGCCGTTTTTGAGAGCCGCGTGTATCGGTCAGAGTTAGAAGCTGAGCCCGGCCAGGCCGGGAGCAGTGTCTCCAGGAGAGACCCCGGTGCCAGATCAGCTGGGCAGCTGTGCCGCGCTGCAGGCCTTCCCTGCGGCCCCTGCTGTTTTCACTGGCCAGGCTCCTTCCCTTGCAGAGTTGACAAGGAGGACGTGATGACTTGCTTGATAAAGGGGTGCAACTTTGTGTTAAAGAACATCCCGCACGAGGCCTTCATGTATCAGAAAGATTCCGACCCTGAGTTCCGATTTCAGACAAATCACCCCAACATTTTCCCGTATCTTCTTGTCAATATCGGTTCTGGAGTCTCTATTGTGAAGGTGAGGCTCAGCTTCGTAGAACGAGTGAGTGGTGGTGCAGCAGTGGTTTGTTGAGTGCCTGCCATGCGTTGGGGCCAGGCCAGGCACAGGGACATGGGCAGATGTGCCTCAGGCCTGGCTGGGCTCCCGCCTCCAGGGGCGCAAGGCCGCGTGCAGAGTGCCCGGCGCAGGCTGTCCATGGGAAGGCGGGCCCCTCCTTCCAGCATCAGCACCTGCCAAGCCCACCCTGACTCAGCCTTGAAGAGCATCGTCACCCATGTCTGGGGACACCCCCAAACCATCGCATCCCCGGGACCTGCTGGTTGGTGGCTGGGGTCCCGCTCGCTCATGTGCCTGCCCTCTTTCTGCTCCCAGGTGGAGACCGAGGACAGGTTCGAGTGGATTGGCGGCAGCTCCATTGGAGGTGGCACCTTCTGGGGGCTTGGGGCTCTGCTCACCAAAACAAAGGTATTCTGGCGGTTGCAGGGAGTTGCTTCTGGCTCTGTATAAAGTCCTGTTTCTCAGTCCCTTTCAGGAAAGGGTTGGTGGCTGTGTGACCTGGGGCTTGCAGTTGGCTGGGATTGTTGTGAAAGTGGCTTCTTCCTACGCCTTGTCCTGACCCTGTTTCCCGGGTCTTTGAAGGACAGGCGTCCAATGGCTAGAGCATCGCTTGGGTGTGTGGGCCATGGAGTCCTGCCTGCCCCTCCTGGCCTTCCATAGTGAGAAAGGGCCTTCACGCTCGGCCAGCGAGCTGCTTGCTTCCTCTCCTGGGCTTAGTTTCCGGGGCTGTCGGAATTCCACCAGCTCCGGCACCTCACCTGCGCCTGTCTGCTCTGTCCCCCCAGAAGTTTGATGAGCTGCTGCATCTGGCTTCCAGGGGCCAGCACACCAACGTAGACATGCTGGTGCAGGACATCTACGGCGGGGCCCACGAGACCCTGGGGCTGAGCGGCAACCTCATCGCGAGCAGCTTCGGGAAGTCAGCCACTGCCGACAGAGGTACCTCTCCGTCTGTCACTGGCTCTCTCCGGTCGCCGGCGCTCACACGTCGCACACCCAGTCTTCTTGCCTAGTAGCGCTCTGTTCTGGTTCTCTCTCGCAGAGTTTTCCAAGGAAGACATGGCCAAGAGCCTGCTGCATATGATCAGCAACGACGTCGGGCAGCTGGCCTGCCTCTACGCGAAGCTGCACTGCTTGGACAGGGTGTACTTCGGCGGCTTCTTCATCCGGGGCCACCCCGTCACCATGCGCACCATCACCTACAGCATTAACTTCTTCTCCAAGGTAACGGGCCTCTGCTGCCTCCCTCTGCCGCCCTGCACGGGGCTCTTCCCAGGCACTCCAGCGTGGACCCTCAGCGTCTTCAGAACTAGCAGACCCAAGGGGTGAGGGGCCCGAAGGCAGGCAGCCCAGGAGCTGGGCGCCCACCACCTGGCCCTTCCTGGCCTCTGCCTCTTCCCTCTGGCTGGTTCCTGGCCTCCTGCACTTGGGCACCGTGGCTGTCTCTGAATTTGGGCATGTTACCTATGGTGAGAGTTCTAGGGACCGTCTCCCACTGTTGGCGAGCTTCAAAGGAGCTTTACGTTCTCTGTCGTGCTGCGGGCCTGCTCTGGGCTGGGCCGGGGGGGGCCTGCGGATGGATGTGCAGTGCCGGGCCAATGGGGTGAACTGGGCGGGAGTTAATTTTGTGGAAGGAGGTAGTCACCCTCAGATTTCTTCAAATGACAGGCTCTTAAATCCTGCGTTTGAATGTAGTTCCATTGACAAGTGTGTGGTGAACTTTCCGGGAAGCCTCCGCCGTGTAGAGGGAGGCCCGCCTATGTGGACTCGGCCGTGTGCACGGCGAGGCCTGCTTCAGGGGGGGTTTTGCCGTGGCAGGGGGAAGTCCAGGCACTGTTCTTGAGACACGAAGGCTACCTGGGAGCCATCGGAGCGTTTCTAAAAGGAGCCGAGCAAGACAGTGAGTAGAGTGTGGCTGTGGGGGCGGGGGTGGCGGAGGAGGTGGGGAGAGTGGGTACTTAGTTGGAGTCAGTGGTCTAGCCCTCCACCTCCGCTTTCCCCCTTTTGAATCAAGGGCCACGAGTGGGACATGGTGGCCTTCGCTGGGCCCCCTCCCCGGCGGTGGCAGGGAGCAGGCTAGCCCTTTGCTGTGATTCTCCTGAGGGGCTGGTGGAAAGTGACTCACGAGGGTTTACGTGGGATGTAATTGACCCAAGGAGGTCCTTGGAGTGACAAGGGGTCCATGCAGGGGCTACAGGCTTGGCCCTCCTCGCCCCCTCCCGCTCCTGCCTCGTTACCGTCAGCCAAGCTCGGTTTCTTCATTTTTAAAGGACACGTGAAGGACGTGTAGACACGGCTCTGCCCGGGAGCCCAGGGCAGGCAGTCCTTCCCTGTGTTCCTGAGTCCAGTTTCTTAGTTGAGATAAATTAGAGAAATCTTTGAGAAGCTGTGAAAGGTCTAAGTGATCATTTTGTGAGGTGTTGGTGCTAGTAAGAAATAACCTACTACCACAGAAGAAACCCCTGGCTCACCCGGTGTCATGGGGACCCTCGGTGGCTGGTCCTTTGCCCAACGCGGTCGGGCCATCCTCAGGTTGGCCGTGCTGCCTTCTGAGCGCAGCCTGGTGTCCGTGAGGCTGACGCCTGGTTTTTCGTCCTGCAGACCCCAACCAGTACAGCTGGGGAGAGAACTACGCAGGCAGCTCTGGGCTCATGAGCTCATCCCCCGAGCTCTGCCCGTCGCAGCGGGTGAGGAGCGGCACTGTGAGTATGGGGTCTGGGCTGGCTCAGGGGTCTTCAGGGTCCCTGAGGAAAGCCCTTGTGTCACGGTAGCCTGGTTTAAAGGTCCTTCTGCTGGTACAGACTGGTCTTTAATCTAACCATAGACTTGGGGGCCAAAGAAAGACATTTGTGGCTTGCTTTCCGGCTTCCCTGCTTTAGTATTTTCATGTTTTCAAAATGTTCCGCAGGAGCCTTAGAGGCTGTGCAGTCCAGGTTTGTGTTTGCAGGGAGGACAGGGGCTCTTTCCCCAGGGCTGTGGGGCCGTTCACAACAGAATCGGGTTAAAACCCAGAGTCCCAGGAACCAACTCAGGCCCCTTCCCGTAGCCCCTGTCCTCTGCCTCATGTTTCAGGGAGTGCAGAGTCTGCTCTCCTTGGAAGGTTCCGACCCATTCCTCAGTTCCCACTGGGGGTAGGGCTGCCGTGACAGGGTTGGGGGCTCCCTTGGCCTGCTGAGCCAGCGTAGAGAGGGTCTCCCAGCTGGGACCGGCATCAGCCACACACAAGACACTATGGCCAGGCCTCTCCTGGCAGAAATGGCCATTTCGTGGGCTGTCGTGGGCTTTTTTTTTTTTTTTTTTGTGAGGAAGATCAGCCCTGAGCTAACATCCACGCTAATCCTTCTCTTTTTGCTGAGGAAGACTGGCTCTGAGCTAACATCTATTGCCACTCCTCCTTTTTTCTCCCCAAAGCTCCAGTAGATAGTTGTATGTCATAGCTGCACATTCTTCTAGTTGCCGTATGTGGGACGTGGCCTCAGCATGGCCAGACAAGCAGTGCGTCGGTGCGCGCCCGGGATCCGAACCCGGGCTGCCAGTAGTGGAGCATGCGCACTTAACCGCTACTCCATGGGGCCCGCCCAGTCGCTGGCTTATTAATGACGTGCCCCCAATGGCGTGACCTCAGTGTGGCATTACCAGGACTTGCACACCATGTTGGAGGACCAGCCGGGCAGTTCAGGGCCGGTCTGGGCCCACGAGTCAGCATGCCGCCTGCGGGGCAGCCTTCTGGCATTGTTAATGGAAAGTTGCTTTTCAGTGTTGGCTGCAGGCTCTTTCAGAAGTGAGTGTAAACATGGCAGGAGCCCCAGGAGAGGAGGCCTGTTCGTGCAGCACTGTCTAGACGCCGGCAGCTGGCTCTGCCCGAGGGCAGACACCTGCGAGTAGCAGGCAGGGCCCCAGGCCCAGGGCTGGGTGGAGCGTTCATCCAGTGGCAATGCAGATTCCTGCCCCACAGCTATAACATTCAGTGGATTCGTGGGCAGAGACCCGCCTCGGTGCTGTGGCACCACACGGGAGCTCTCATCCTGATGACGTGGGGCGGGGCCGGCGGCCTTCTGGATGCATCTGTGCACTCAGCGCCTCACCCATCTGTTGTGCTGAGTCCTTGTGTGGCCCTGCGAGGGCGGCGTGTAGAGCCCGCTTTACCGAGGGGGAGACAGAAGTGCGGAGGGACAGGGCATCTCTCTGGGTTTACATAGCCAGCACAAGGCAAGGCTAGGATTTGAACTCCCGTTTGGCAGGGAGCAGGGAGCCCTTGAGGATGGCGAGGCAGGAGACACGTGGAGCTAGTTCCCGGGGAAGCTGCCCTCACCTTTCTTCAACCATGTGGAGATGCACCAGCTATTTCCACGCTAAACTTACTGTCTCCTGGACACGTTCTGGAAGCCAGGTTCTTCCTCTTGGGATGGACCTTGTCATGCAGGCCATCCCTAGCTCAGAGCCTCCTGCGTCTCCATCTCCACTAGTTTGCCAGTCAGAAGCACTCCCGGCAGAGGAGGGCCGACTTCCAGGTGTGCGCAACGTGGCGGGTCATGACCTCAAGGGCAGGCAGAGGGCCCCACGGCGAGCTCGAGCTCCCCCGCTTGTCCTGGCCCCAGAGTGCTGCCCGCTGCAGTTAAGGTCTAAGAACCAGGGCCATGCGCGCGTCAGCTTCACTCTCTCCTACGTGAAATTTAAACAGCCCACTGGGAAAGTAACCGTTTGTTTGAAAAGTACCCAAGTGCCCAGCGGGCGTGCTCGACACTGGTGACCATAGGCTGCACGTCGGCATGGGGTGGCCTGGCCCTCGCTGGCGTGGCTGGGGAGGCGGTTTCAGCCCCCGGGTGTGTGATCAGCAGACGTGCTCTGGGGAGAAAGGAGCTGGTGTGTATGGGGGGCGGTGCTGCCTGCCCCTACGGGGTCACTGTGGCCTTGCCGTGGAACCGACACTGGGCAGGAGGAGCAGAACAGGAGCCCGCCGGGTGTGAGTGAGGGCAGCACCTGCGGAGCCCTGAGCAGGAGAAGCGAGGACCAGAAGAGCGGCTGGGGTGTCTGGGGGTCGTGAGTGAGGAGGAGAAGGGCACAGGGTGGTGCAGGAGCCACCAGGAGCAGCCGGTATGGGGGCTCCGGGACCCTGGCTTCCCTGTGACAGGGAGACGGATGAGGTGGGAGCCACCGGGAGGAAGCCCCGCAGACCGGAGGGACAAAGGGAGGGAGGGAGGCGTCACCAGGCGGGAGGTGACCTTGGGGCTACGAGCAGACTCAGGATCCAGGGCATTTGGCTCAGGTCGCCAGACAAATGGGGGCATGCCGCGGGCTGAGAGGGCGGGAGGGCGCGGTGCGGAGACGGAGAAGCTGGGGCTGTCTATTCGCTGCACGCGGCAGCTTCCATTCGCCCCCTTCCGTCCTCACTGAGAAGCCGGGTCTAAAACGTGCAGGCGGTTGTTGGGTCTTTCAGAAAGAGCACAGCTGACATGTCCACCAACTTTTCGTTCTTCCAGTTTGACTTACTGGAAATGGACCGGCTGGAGAGGCCACTAGTCAACCTGCCACTCCTTCTGGACCCGTCTTCCTACGTGCCCGACACAGTTGACCTCACGGACGACGCCCTGGCCCGAAAGTACTGGCTCACCTGCTTTGAGGAGGCCCTGGACGGGGTGAGGGCTCGGCGGGGGCCCAGGGAGCGGAGGCTGACGTCTCGGGAAATCGTCTCCAACCGTCTTGGGTTTCCAGGGGAAGTGAGAGGTGTGGTGAGGGAGGATGAGGGTGTTTTCCAGAAGCCCTTTGATCTGTGTTTGAGTTTGGGAGGGGTAATTCGTATTTCTGTAGTAAAACATGACTTCTGGTGGTTTGTCGGGTCAGCGAGGCACGTTTTATAAGTACATCAAGTAACTGCTAGTTACTGCGTTTCTTCAAAAGGCGAGCGATCTGCACGGGGTCAGGCGGCAGCCGCTGGACGCCGGCTTGGCGGGTCACGGCTCGAGGCTGTCGGAACCCCATGGGAACATGTGTCTCTCCGTAAAGGCCTTCAGCGTGAGCGGTCCCACCCTGCCCTGGGCCTCCCGCAGGCTCTGAGGGTGGTCCAGGACCTCTGTCCCCTCAGCAGGGCAGGAGCTGGTGACGAGCAGGACTCGGGGCACATGTCGGATGACATGGCTCTGAGCCTTGGTTCCCACTTGCAGAGATGAGCCCCCAGGAGACTGACATGGCAGGCAGATGAGCCTGCCATTCGTGTGCTGGGGGACAGCTCTGAGCCCAGCCCAGCAGAGGAGCAGGCCAGGCTTGACTGACCACCCCGTCCTTGCAGGTGGTGAAACGCGCTGTGGCCAGCCAGCCAGGCTCTGTGGACGCAGCCGAGAGGGCGGAGAAGTTCCGCCAGAAGTACTGGGACAAGCTGCAGACGCTGCGACACCAGCCGTTGTGAGTCTGGCCTTCCCCGGTGTGTGACTGGCCTGTGACCCGCCGTGTGAGCTGGGCCAGCAGCACCCTTGGGTGTGCGCCAGCGGCCGGGCCCTGTGAGCAGGGCGGCCTGGTGCACGTGGCCCCCAGAGGCGGCCCCTGCAGGGGAATGTGCGTTCACTTGAGGGCCGAAGTTCCCACTGGCTGCTCCCAGCACCCCCACGAGTCTCTGCGCGTCTCCTGCAGCACCCACGCTCGGGGACACTCAGCTGGGCCGGGCAGGCCCACTCAGGCTTCACCACTTCTCCGCCTCTGCGCGGGTGCCTGACACCGTGTGGACGTCCCTGGGGGCCGAGGGGGTGTCAGCGAGCAGGCAGCATGCTCGGCAGTCTGGCCTGCTCAGCCTCCCCTGTGTGTCTCTGTCCACAGTGCTTATGGGACCCTGACCGTGCGCAGCCTTTTGGACACAAGGGAGCACTGTTTGAATGAGTTCAACTTCCCAGACCCCTACTCCAAGGTGAGCACGCCTTCCATGGGGGGCGCGTGCTTGCAAGGGGTCTGGGGACATGGAGAGCGGGGGATGTGGGGGCTTTCCCAACCTGTCCGGGTTTGGTGACTGCCCCCACTCCCAGCCCTGGTGACAGGCTGCATCATGGAGCCACCCTGGCGGGTCCATCTCCTGAGAACACCCGGTGGCCGCACGGTTGGCCACGCCTGCTGCAGAGCTGTGGGTCAGAGGCATTGTGGGGGCTCCCCCAGAACAGAGAAGTATCCTGGGGGCTATAACCAGCAGCCACTTAGGGTGCTGGACATGTGGCAGAGAAAGGGGAGCAGGCGGGTGCCAGGACCAGGTCATGGAGCATTTAGGTCAGGCCACCTCTGTGCTGGCTGAGGGGTGCTGGCCTCCTAAGGGAGCGCGTTTCTCTGCATCTGCCAGAGCCTTGGGCTGCTGCTGCACCGAGGCCCTGTGCCCTCTTCCTGGCCGCCTGTAGTCGGCCTGGAGCCTCAGAGTTGGTGTTTGTGGGTGTCAGTCCTCCCACAGTGTGACAAGCTAGCCAGAGCCTGGCAGTGGCCGAGAGGCACCGCCCTCCTCCTTGGCTGTTCTGACTGGGAGCCACCATGCCCGGCAGCAGTGGGCGGGGTCCAGGGCCAGCCCGGCACGCCAATTCCCATGTCCCTACCCCTCCTCACGAACGGGAGTGTCTAGGGACAGTGTCTGGGTGCTGAGGATTTCATGGTCAGGGCAGCAGGTACCCATGGGGGTCTGGGTCCTCCACCCTGGCCCTTCTCTGCCCTGCCTTCGCCCACAGCACTGTCACACTGGGGCCAAAGCCCCACCGAGCCTTCTCAGCGCAGGTTTAAACTTGCACTCTCAGCTGGCGCTGTTCTGAATCAGCAGTATTTTTAACCTAATACGATCTTGCTTTGTTTAAACTCCTGCCATGATGTCGCAGTGAGCTCTCTGTCCCCTCAGAGCGGGTTCACAGTTGGTGACATACCCCACAGCGTCTCCAGTAGGGCGCCCGTTCTCCCCTGCTCTGCTGAGGGCCTGGAGGAGGCACTGCCACGTCCGCACTCGTGAGCCCCGGCTCGCATCTGCCCGCAGGTGAAGCAGAGAGAAAACGGCGTAGCGTTGAAGTCTTTCCAGAGCGTCATCCGCACCCTGGACGCGCTGGGCTGGGAGGAGCGGCAGCTGGCCCTCATCGAAGGGCTGCTGGCCGGCAACGTCTTCGACTGGGGCGCCAAAGCTGTCTCCGAGTAGGTGCTCGCCGTCTGCACGGCTGCTGTGTGGCCTTGTCCCACCCCTTCCTTCTCGTCCCCACGGCTCCATGTGGCCCCAGGTTCCAGCAGGTTGCCCAGGCCAAGCCATGTGGAGCAGCGCCGGCTCCGGGCCTCAGCCGGCCTGGCTTGGCCCATGTGGAGGTGGCAGTGGGGGAACCGGGGGTCCCGGTGGACGTGGTGCTGCTTGGGGCTTTGCTGGCGCGTGCAGTCTCTCAAGTGAACGTGGCAGCCCACTGGCTATGCCAGCCCGGCAGTGCCAGGACCCAGCCTCCCTGCTGGTCTGTAAGGGCAGGTATGGGGAGGGCTGAGAGTATGGACGTGGGGCTGACGTTTTCAGTGGTAAAAATCTGAATTCTTGGCTACCACACTAGCACACAGAGAAGGAATCAAACGACCCTTCGCGTTTGAAATAACAAAGTGCTTCACGGAGGGGCTCAGCTGACTGCATGGTGGGGGCACGTGTGTCCCGGGCACACCGAGCAGCCTGTCCTGGGGCCCCTGGTCTGGGCACCCTCAGAATGGAGCGTTTCCACAGTTGTTTACTTTAATCCCTGAAGAAGCTGCAGCCCAGTCCCGGGCCTCGCAGGTGGCCTGCCCACTGAGCAGCAGGGCCCTCCCTCTGCTCCACGCTCTGTCTCCCGCCTGGCATCCCCGTCTCCCTGGCCCTCACTGAGTCCACCCGTGGTGCACTCTTGGACACGGACACTGAGAAGAGCCATCCACCTCGCTCCCCCCCCTTGTCACTGGCTGTCCCTTTAGGCTTCATTTTGGGGCGTGTGCCAGGCAAGGCTGGTGGCCGGCGCTGACCCAAGGGGCCCCACCTGTGGCTGCCAGGCACAGAGGACGTCCCCAGCGCCGCTGCTCCGTGTTCTTGAGCTGATGTTCACCTTGAGGAATGTGCTGCTCTCTCCTTTCACTGTCGCTGCTCGGGACTCGAAGCTTTGCTGACTGCGGCAGTGGGGACCGACCACGGCAGTGGGGACGCACTCAGCTACCATGGATAACAGTGTGTTCGTCCAGTTTGGAAAACGTGTCATTCGAGGCCCACAGTGAGCAGCGGAGACTGAGACGTGGGGTTTTTTTATGACTTTTTTTTTCCTTTCTCATGCAGTGTCCTTGAATCTGACCCCCAGTTTGGGTTTGAGGAGGCGAAGAGGAAGCTGCAAGGTAGGGCCCAGGGCTGGCCTCTGGTGCTGGGACTCAGGCCCCAGCGCGGGGAGCAGCGAGGGGGCAGAGCTGGGCTGGGTGAGGACTGGCTCCCGGGAGAAGTGAGCGGGTGGGCAGGCGCGGCTGACTCGTCCCCGTGTCCCGCAGAGCGGCCCTGGCTCGTGGACACCTACAGCAAGTGGCTTCAGAGACTGAAGGTACCCGAGCTGCCCACCCACCTCTGCCACGTGCACTTGGGGCGTGGGAGGCAGGGGCCTGGGCGGGGCTCCCAGGAGGGGAGGGGGCGCAGGGGGTGGCAGGGGGCTGCCAGGCAGTGTGCCGAGGGCCCCAGAGTCTCACTCCCCCAGCTTCGGGTCTGCGTGACCGTCCCTGCTCTGGGCCTGGCTCCTGCAGGGACCATTGACTAGGTCAGCTGAGGTCATGGGGGCCAGTGGTTCCGGAAGAAGCACAGGCCAGCCTGCCCCAGTGTCCCCAGCGGCCCCAGCACCTGCGGGACCAGCAGCCCTCGCCCTGGCCCCGGGAGTGGGGAGCATGGCGCGTGGCGGTGTGTGGAGCGCGTGAACGCACCTGTTCCCAACTGCACGTCTGGTTTTGTCTTGCAGGGGCCCCCTCACAAATGTGCCTTAATTTTCGCAGATAACAGTGGAGTAGACGTCATTTTGGGAGTCTTCCCCTTTGTCAGGGAGCTTCTCTCTAGAGGGACAGAGGTGAGTGGCGAGGCCGCGCGGTGGGACCCTTGCCCCGGGCTCCTCCGTGCGTGGCAGGTAGGTGCGGGTGAGTGGCGGCCCACGGGAAGGTGACCCCCAGCCCGACCCCAGTGTGCCAGGGCCATCTTCATCCTGACCCAGGGCCAGCACTTCTGGAGGACACCAAGCAGTGAGAGCTCGCCAGGGGTCGTGCTCCTCAGCTGGCAGCCCTGGGCGGGCAGGCGAGCACAGGCTGGCGGGGGTGCTGGGCAGAGGCAGAGGTCCCTAAAGAGCCTGGACATCCTGCAGGTCATCCTGGCGTGCAACTCGGGCCCCGCCCTGAATGACGTGACCTACAGCGAGTCCCTCATCGTGGCTGAGCGCATCGCGGCCATGGACCCCATCATCCAGTAAGCTGGGCAGGGCCTGGGGCCCCTGGCACGGAGAGGCAGGACGCGGGGGTGGGACAGGTTCCTGGGGCGCCACCTCACGTGGCGCTGATCCCTTGTGCTCGGCAGCTCGGCACTCAGAGAAGAGAGGCTCCTGCTGCTGCAGACGGGCTCCAGCTCCCCGTGCCTGGACCTCAGGTACCCCAGCACCTCCATCCCTGGTCCCCCCGGGCCGTGGCCGCCCGGCTCAGAGGCCACAAGTGGGGCTCCAGGCACCCTGCATCGCCACCTATAGATGGCGGGGGGCTATCTCCCCACATTCATCCTTAGATAACTAGTTTGTCGCCTTAGTGCTTTCTGTCCTGGGGATTCTAGAACATAAAAGAAACCAGCCATCTGGAGTCCGCCGTGGATGGGAGTGCCAAGGCGGCTCTGGGTGTGTGGGTGGTGATTCTCCAGTGTTGACTTCATCCCCCTCCAGGCCCCCTGTTAACCAACAAGGGAGGATGATATAAACCCACGAGAAGGACTAAGGTCCCTAAGGTTCACAATAGAAAAGTGTTAACTAAGGCCCAGTCTAGGCCCGGTTTTCAAGACAGACTGCCTTCTGCTCATGGAGGCGCAGCTGCCCAGGGTCCCTGAGGCCTGGGGGACAGCTGCGGGGCAGGCTGCCTTAGGGTCGGGCAGGGTGTAGAGCACACGTGGTCAGTGCATTGAGCAGTGGGGGTCTCCGGCCATTCTTGTTGATCACTGCCCTGGGTGGGAGGCAGGATGTGGCATCCACCCCGGGTGCGGCACAATGCAGGGTGTGAGGCCCTGCCACCCGCCTCACTGCCCCCTTCCTCTCCGAAGCCGCCTGGACAAGGGGCTGGCCGTGCTGGTGCGGGAGCGCGGCGCGGACCTGGTGGTGATCGAGGGCATGGGCCGCGCCGTCCACACCAACTACTACGCGGCCCTGCGCTGCGAGAGCCTCAAGCTGGCCGTCATCAAGAACTCCTGGCTGGCTGAGCGGCTGGGCGGCCGGCTCTTCAGCGTCATCTTCAAGTATGAGGTCCCGACCGAGTGAGGCGCCCGCCCACTGGGCTGTTCTGCTCATCACTGTCAGGAACGTACCTCGACTGCAACAGGGAGACTGCGTTCAAATCCTCATATTTATGTTGTGCTTCTATGACTGAGCGGGTGCCCGCTGTGGGCACGGCACTCGAGGCATTGAGGCCGGCGTGCAGGCCGCCGTGCTCGTGGTGGGGACGCAGCTCTCGTCCCGTGAGACATTCGTATTGGGATGTATTTAGCTGTTAAATAATCTTTTCTATATATATATAAATATATATATATAAATACATACAGATACTTGTGACAGAGGCACAGGGCTCGCACCAGTAGTTTCTAGACAGGGCAGGCTGTCTTCACCTTGGCAGTTTGATTCTGAGAAGGCGGCCCACCCGGAAGCCTTGCTGGTTGGGCACGTCCGGGCAGGTCCCTGCCGACCCTTCTGCCGGGAAGCTGAGTGGATTCTTTCCCTTCAGTTACTTCAGGAACTCACAGGTCCGCCTTGGCCTGTGAGCCGTGGCCGCTGCCCCAGCACTTGGCTTCCTGTGTCTCTACCCGCCCCCTCCCCCACCTTGGGCCAGAGAGAGGCCACCCACCAGCGCATCTGTCTGGAGGAGGTCGCCCTCTGCGTCCCCGGCCCTCCCCGGCCCCCTGCGCACAGGAGGGACTGAACCGCGTGCTCAGCGGCTCTCCTAACTTGAGAGGAGCCGTGAGCATCGAGGGCTCTCGAGTTGGTGGCTGGCGCACACTCCTGCTCAGAATGATCAGACCATTGGGTGTTGTCATTGTGGCCTTGAGCCCGTGCCCAGAGCCCTGCCCGTGACAGGTGGGCGGGCGAGGGGCTCCCCACTGCTCCCAGCTCTTCCTTTAGCTGGATATGTCCTTCAGGCTGCAGACCTGAGCCACGGGCGCCACGTCACTGCAGAACTCACCTTGGAGTGAGCTGCAAGTGGGAGACGTTGGTTTCTTAGCAAGTGAAGACCTCGGAGCGAAGAGCCCCTGCCACCGTGGACCCTGGACCTTGAGGAACAGGGCTGCCACGTGGCACGGCGGAGCAGCCCCTGAGCCCTGAGGAGAGCCAGCTGCGGCCAGCACCCCCCAGGCTCCCTCGCCTCTGGAGAATCCGGAAATGCGAGGGCTGGGGCGGGGGTGAGGGCAAGGCCAGGCTGGCCGTCGCCTGCAGGGACTGAGCCTATTCATCTTTCTCTGCACCCTCATTTTCACTGAGACCCCCACGCACTCGCTGTCCTGCTGGGCCGTGGAAACTGGGTGCTGTGGACCCCCTTCCAGGAGGCTGGTCTTATGGGACCTGCACTGACCCCAGTGCAACAGGGAACAGGGTCTGGGAGCCAGCCTTGGAGGGCAAGGGACCGGTCCTGCACATGCCAGCACCCCGGGTGGCCGACGTGTCTTGTCCCCACTCCATCGCACCCCCAGCCCTGCCTGCGGGTGGCTCCCACATGGACCCCTCCCAGCCCTGCCTGCAGGTGGCCCCCACATGGGCCACCAAGCAGCTGCTCCGTCGCGCAGCCGGGCCTGGCCCTACCATGGGTGGCCACCAGGGGACGGCGGGGACACAGTGGTTAGGGGGTCTAGGCCCAGCTGGTCCAGTAGGTAGTGGGTCCCTGTCATCTGTGCCTCCCTGAGGGTGCCCCAGCCTTGACCCCAACATAGCCCGGCCCCGTGTCCCCCAGCCTGCAGCCTGCACAACTTAGCAACCTGTGGCTGCCTTTGCGTGGCCTTCCCTGGCCCCTCCTCCCACGCTGCTCTCTGCCCTCTGCTCTCTGGTGGTGGAGCAGCGCTGGCCTGGCCAGTCTGGGGCCCTGGCCCAGGTGCCCAGGAGGGCTCGAGAGGTCCAACCAGAGCCCTGCTCAGCCTGGTGTCATGACGCCTAGTGGGTCCTCGTGTCTTCCCAGGGTCTGGCCCTCAGGAGGGGCACACCACCCTGAGAGTGAGCTGGACAGAGGCCAGGGGAGCCTGCGGGGGCCGCAGGGTGAGGGAGGCGCAGGACCCTGAACACCTGCCCCCAGGTCCCCTTCCTGTGACGCGCCCCCCCACCCCACCCTTTCCCAGCTGGAGCAGGAAGGCTGCCGGCCTCCCGGGAGCTGAGAGCATCCCCTGGAGGTACCTCATGACAGGAGGCAGCGCCCACCCAGGGCTGGACAGGGGTGACCCCCCATTTCTCATGAGAGGCAGGGCGTCGTTCCCAGGAGCCCCGGCACTCAGCTCACCCCCTTCACAGCCCCTGAGACTAGGAGCCCAGAAGGCCCGGTGCAGCCACTGAACGCCTTGCCTTGGTGCTCCCTCTGGGGTTGGGCCACAGCGCCCCCCACGCACGTGCTCCCCAGACCCGAGGAGGAAGGAGGGCTCACCAGGTTCTGAGGGGCCTGGTGGGTCCTGGGAGGCGAGTGGGGCCAGTGGACACCCCCCACTCAGGCCTTTGCCAAGTTTGGGCGAGTGACCAGAGCAGGTCCCTGGGGCCTATGGGGGGACAAGCGAGGGAGAGCGCACTCCAGAGCAGCCTGGCCCACCAAAGCTCAGCCTTCTGGTCCCCGTGCCCAGCGCCCACTTTCCCAAGGGCCTCCGCCCTCACAGCAGGGCTTCTCCTGCGGGGGGCCCAAGGCCTCCGTGAGCTGAGCCGCAGGTGGCCGTCCTGAGCCCTCCGCCTGTTGCACCGAGCACTGCCCGTTGCTGAGGTCCTTGGGGTGGCTCCTGAAGAGGCCAGATGCCCCGGGCGGGGGCAGAGGACAGGCCCGGCCAGCACCCCAGCTTCTTCAAAGGAGGGGCCATCCTGGAACCCCGTGCTCTGAGACTTCGGGGCAGGGCGGCCCCACAGCTGGGGTCCTCTGGCTGGGCTCCCTGCCCAGGGCTCGGGTCTGCCCCCGAAGAGTGGGGTTGGGAGGAGCAGGGGTATATGTCGGGGGCTCGTGGCCCCCGCCCTGGGGAGCCAGTCCAGCTAAGCCCTCTGAGGGCAGAAGTCGGGGGCGTTCTCCAGGCTTGCACAGCCCCCGGCCTGGAGCCTTTGGTACATGGCCACAGAGAAAATGGCATCCCCATGCGGAGCGAGCGTGAGCGTGTTTATTGGAGTCATGTTCAGGAGTTTACAGAGTTTCAACGTCCCGTCTGGAGCAGGGTGTGTGCAGACCAGGCAAACCGTTGGCGGGGCACAGGCATTCTGGGAGCCCTCGCCCCTGCACACGCCCACGCAGCTAGAAAACCAGGGCAAGTGGAAAAGACTCGGCACCATTTTAATGTTGTGGAAGCTTTGTCTCTAAAAATTTAAATATCTGTCCATGTGTATATCTTCAGATGTCGTGGAGACTTTGCCCAGCCCCAGGGGCGGACTCCCCTCCTCCCGGGGAGGAGAGGCAGGGGCAGGGGCGGAGGGCGGCAGAGGGGCACCCAGCCACGCCCAGGGCAGGCGGGGCAGCTGTGGGGACAAGCTCACGCGGCCCTGAGCAAACACCGGACCCCGCCCGGCCGGCCCAGCTGAGGGGAGGCCGCTGACGTCCCCCGCGGACGCTGGGTCAGAGTCTGAGCAGGAGGCCGGTGGGCTGGTCCATGGCGCCCTTGGAGGGGGCCAGTGCGTCCCCACAGCCCTCTTGGCCCACGGAGCAGGCGCCCTCGGGGGTCCCCCGCTCCTCCTCTGGGGGTCCCCGTGGGCCCTGCAGCCGCTGCTGCCGCTCCTGGGCCTGGCGGGCACGGCTGGCAATGGCGCGCACACGGCTCTGGCTGCGGGAGGAGGAGCGTCGCAGGAAGCCCGGGCCCCCCGCCATCCCCTCCCCAGCTGGTCCCAGGCTGGTGGGTGACGTGATGTCACCGGCCTGCTGGAACCCCGTGAGCCAACGCAGCTGCTCCGTCAGGGCATCCCGCCGCCCCACCTGCCCCGCCGGCCCCTGCCCCGCCAGGGCCAGGCGGCGGCCTAGGCTGTGGCCCAGGCTCTCAGCACGTGGGGCGAAGTCGTCGGCTGTCAGGTCTCCCAGGCTCTTGGACTTGGCGGCCACGGGGCAGTCCCTGAGGCCTGCCAGGGGGAGGCGGTCCCAGGGTGGCCATGGGGCCAGGGGGCGGGGCCGCAGCTCATCAGGCACTGCAGGCAGCTGGCCCGCAGCCCTCAGGTTGGGGTTGGATTTGCTCTTGGTCACAGCGGGCAGGTCTAGATGGACGGCCGAAGCTGAGCAGGGCCGCAAGGGCAGGCGTCCGGCCGGGCCTCCCGTGAGGCTCTCGCGGCCCAGGCCCAGGCCCTGCAGGGAGAGGTCAATGACCGTGTCACTGGATGACATGCTGGAGGATGAGGACATGCTGTCCCGGTGGTGGCCTGGCTCCAGCCGCTGCCATAGCCGATCGCTGCCCGTGGCGTCTGAGTACACGGCGGGGGAGGGCCCGGCCGGGGGCCACCATCCGCCCAGGGGCTCTGGGGGCACCTGCCCCTCACTCTTGGCCCTTCTGACCAGGGGCAGTTGGCCCAGGGCCCGGGGGTGGCCCCTGCTGTCCATCTGGCAGCTGGGGGCCCCCTCGCACGCTCCATTAGGGTCCCCACCATGGCACGCCTGCCGCCTGCTTTCGGGGGCTGGCTCAGTGTCCCCATGGCTCCCGGTCCTGAGCTGGAGGAGCATGGAAGCTCCCAGAGCCGCCCCTGGGAGGTTCACTGCTTTGGCGCCAGGTCCTGCAGAGCACTGGGGGCCCCCTGAGTAGGGACTTGGGGGGGCGGCCACCAGGGCTGGGGGGCCGGGGCCCAGGACTGGCTCCTCAGCAATGGTTTCCAGGCTGCACAGGGAGGAGACCGACCTCTGTGTGGAGAAGAGGCAGGTGTCTGTGGAGGAGAGAGAGGAGCATGTTGGGTGGCATCATCATGGCCCCTGTGCCCACGGGACCCCCAGCAGCCAGGCACCTCCATGCGCACACAGCTGCCCCCACCCCTGCCCTCCAGCTCTGCGGCTGCTGGGGCCGGGGCAGCAGACGGGCCCTGTGCCCACAGGCAGGACCCACGGGGCTCCGCTGCCATGCCAGGCCCGGGGCCTCTGGGGCTGGGCCGTTCGTTACCTGGAGCTCGGCTGCTCTCAGTTCTTAACTACAGAGGCAGCATGGGGACAGAAAGGAGAACAGGGTGGTCAGCGTAGGGGTGGGGCTGGCAGATGGACAGACTGACAGCAAGGCTGGTGGGGCGCAGGGAGGCAGCGGGAGGAGGATGGCTCAGCTCCCACCCTCCCTCCCCAGGCTGGGCTCCGCTCCCCGTGACAAGGTGGCCTTGAGCAGTTGCCTGTCACAACCAGGCCAGGCGGGGGCTTCCCGAGCAGGGCTGCTCAGCGCAATTCAGCCATCAACGCCCTCCCAGGGCCAAGGGGCACATGCAGTCTGCTCCACTTTGCAAACTCTGAGGCCCCAGCGTCAAGGCTCTGAGCACCATCCAGGAGTCCCAAGGGCACCAGAGGCTGCACTGCGGTGAACCACCGACCCACACCAGACTTCCTGGAGGACTGCGGTGCAGCCTGGCCCTGGAGGGAGGTGGGAGGGGGCCTGGAAGCTGCTCCTGGGTCCTACGAAGGGTGTGGGAGCAGCCGGTCAGGCAGGGAAGGAGGTCGGCACGGGCACTGGGGCTGGGCCAGGAGGCCATGCCTGGGGCTGCGGGCCTCAGCAAGCACGGCCTGGCCCTCGGGGCCACTGGTTGGACTCACTCCCTATGTGGGGTGAGGGTGGCTGCAGCCAGACCGGCTCTCTCTTCTCTGGCCCCTGGGGAGTGCAGGGGGGCCTCAGAGAGCAAGAGGCCGGGGGGTCAGTCGTGCTCAGATGGGGGGCTGGGGCTTCAGGGCCTGCGGGACAAGCCGATGGAGCAAAGGGAAATGAAGGCACGATGAGCACACGGGGCGATGGCTGTGGACACGGAAGCACAGGCAGCAGGGACGCCGGGCCCAGGCCATGCCGAGGGGCGGCGTGGGGGACACCCGGGGGGATGCCAGGGAGGAGCATCTGGTCTTACCCGTGGAGAACATGGGGGATTTACTCCTAATCTCCTCCAGCTTTTGAACGAACAAGGCATTCATCTCCCTCTGCAGGGCCCCCGCCTGCCTGCGGGCGCCCTCGGGCCAGCGGGGGGCCCCCTCGGGGCTGCCCGGGGTGCTCGAGTCTGAGGACATGGAGCCGCTGCCTCCCGGACCCTGCCGCTGGGCCCCAGGGCCCTTGGGGGCCCCTCTGCTTCTCCCCGGGGCACGGGGAGCCCCCAGCGAGTCCACCCGGGCGCGGGGCTGCTGGCTGATGGCCGTGTGCTCGCCCGAGGGCCCTGGGCTGGGCAGCCGCCCTCTCCGCAGGCCCTCAGCATCCTCGCCGGCGCAGGAGCCCACCACACACTTCATGCAGGTGGCGGCCATCCCGGCAGGCCCGGGGCCCTCGGGGGCACGCGGGGGCCGTCCCTGCGCCAGGCTCCTCTCCGCCGGCCCCTTACCTCGGGGGCTGCAGCTGCAGGGCTCCTCCGGGGCCAGGGCCTCCGGAGTGGGGCCAGGGCTGGGGGGTGCCACATCACGGGCCTCCCCCTCAGAGCCTGCATCCTGTGTGCCCAGGACCAGCTCTGGGAAAGCCTTGTGGCCGGGCTTCTGGCTCTTGGTTGGGGCACTGGCGGTGCGTCGCAGGAGCCGCTGGCTAACGGAGGGCCGGGGCAGGGGCCACCCAGCAGCATGACTGTCCAGGGAACCGGGCTTTGGGCCTCGGAGGAACAGGCCTTTTAGGCCCAGAGCCGGCTTGACCTGCAAGAGAAGGAGCCCACATAGCCGGCAGCAAGGCACCTGGGGCCGGGACCACTCCGCCCCATCCAGCCGCAATCCCGCAGGCGGCGCCTGGCTGAGCCCGCCGCAGCCCGAGGGAAAAGGCTCGTCAGGGGCACTGGCAGGCATGTCGGGATTGGGCCACTCAGATCCAGGGCACCTCTATCAGGGACAGCGGCTGCTATGGCCACGGCACAGACTAGGAACACGCTCTGCCTGCACTGGGGCGGAGCGAGCGGGCGCTGGTGGAGGGTCTGAGGGCCTCAGGGCCGGCGGGCCCAGTGAGAGCCAGCAGGAGAGGCCCCCACGACGTTCTCCCAAGCAGAGACTTCAAACCCTGGGCCCTGCAGCCAGCACACTGTGCACCCCTCCCAGGCCCCACGACCCCTGGCTCTGGCAGGACAGTCTGGCACAGGGGCCCGCAGGGTGGTGCTGGTGTGGAGAGAAAGATGGAGCGAGAACCAGATGGGAGCAAAGAACTGCCCCGCCTTCAGGTGCCGCAGGCCGAGGGAAGAAGCACAGCCAGGTGCAGGCCAGCGTCTGCTCTCCCATGCCCCCGCCGGCCCACTGCCCAGGAGGGGCCACCTCTTCTAGGAAGCCTTCCCAGACTCCTGCCAGGCAATCTTTCCCAGCCTCACCCTGCTCTCTGCTCAACAGCCCCAAGGGCAGGGCCCATGCCGGCTTGGCGCCCCCTGAACCCCGGCTGACCCAGGGCCATCCTGCAAGCCCTCTCCCTGCAGCCTCCCTGCCTAAGGGCAGCGGGGGGCCCAGGACTGTCTGGCAAGGGCCTGGGTCGATGCTGGAGAGGCCAGCAGCTACATGTTGAGTGTGCAGAGGCCAGAAGGGTCCTCACATGCAGAGACCCTGACAACAGCCACTGCTCCCCAGTGACATGGGGGCACTTCTGGGCAGAGGCATTCAAGTGGCCGGCACTTGAATCAGCTTCCCGATTCAAGATCCCAAATCCAGAGCAATTTGGTCCAATGGTTAGAAAGCCATTTAGAAGAAGGTCCAGGATTCAAGCTTGGAGCTCCTGGTCGCTGGGACCTTCCCACCCCGACCCTGGGCGTCATGGGCACAGACAGAGTCAGAGGGGCACATGGGGCGGGGGATGAGGAGAGAGAGAGGGAAAGAGGGAGAGAAGGAAGGGGTGCTGGGTGCCAGAGGAGCTCTCAGCTAGAGGACTGGACACTGCAGGGGGCGGGGGGCACGGGCTGAAGTCCTGGATCTGCTTCGTAAATGCTGGTCTGTGGCTGAGGATGGCCCGAGGGACCCAGAACCTCCAGAACCACGTCCCCATCCATGTCACATGAGCTGACAGTCTCCAAAATGCTACCAGGAATCACGGATGCTAATGGGGGCAGCCTGAGCATGCAGGTAGGGGCGGGCGGGCCACGCAGCCCTGCGCTGGGGTACCTTCGAGCCCCTAACAGGGCTGTGCTGCTAAAAGTAGACTTTGGACATAGAGAAGCCACTGCAAGACCAAAGAGACAGAGTGAAGACCGTGAGACACCGACAGCGGGGGACGCGGAGCCCGCGGAGACAGGCAGACACACGACAGACAGATGGACGGACGACGGACGACGGAAAGCTGCATCCGGCCGGCACCTCGGGCCCGTGGAGTGCAGGGGAGAGAGACGGTTAGTGCTGGGACCTCGCAGGACCCCCGTGTGTGCCTGACTGACCACCGCGGGCCAGCCTGCCTGGGCTCTGAGCACAAAACCAGGACCCCAGGGTTCTCCACACTGCGAAAATGGAGCAAGACCCCCGTCACGGGGCGGGGGCAGATGTGCTGGGGAGCAGGGTGGGGTCGTGGGGCAAAGCCAGCAGACACCTTCTGAGGAGGGATAGAGAACCGGGTGGACCCTGAGAAGTAAGAGGGGCAGGGGAGGCTCAGGAGAGACAGGGAGGGAGAGCCAGGGGCGCCCGAGAAGGGCCAGGGCCTCCACCTCCTGGTGCCCGCCGCGGCCCCGGGACACGGAATCCAGGTGCCCCCACCACCCATTTCGTGTGTGGAGAAACAGGCCCAGCGAGGTAACCACTAGGCCTCACGGCCCTGGGGTCAGGAGCCGGCCCAGGGGTCACTGCTAGGGTGGGGCTGGGGTGGGGCTGGCGCACTCCTCCCCGACGGCAGGTGGCCCTGCAAGTGGCACTCACCTTACCACTGATGTCACTGACGGCCACGTGGACAAAGATGGAGGCCTCTTCCATCCCCTCCAGGTACACGTGCCGATAGCCTGAAACAGCCAGGGGCACGGCTCGCTCTGCCCCTACACTCCACTTAAAGCTCCCAAGGCCCTAAGTACAACCAGTGAGCCCAGTCCTGAGGACCTCGCCTTCTCTAGGAAGCCCGCTGGTATTGCTCCATCCTGCAGGGACCTTGTCCTCTTCCAGGGACAGGGGCACTCCGCAGCCAGAGCTCCCCTGCCCCACCCCGCCCACAAAGCTCCTGTGGCCTCGCGCGCCCTCCTCAGCTCCCTCTGTGTCCCCCAGGACCGCTCGTGGCAGAAGCCAACTTGCAGGAGAAAGCTGAGCTCCACCCTGTCCTGGAGCCCTCAGCTGGCTTGTGGGGGGGACACTGGTCTCTATGAGGGATGCTGGTCTGTGTGGGGGGATGCTGGCCTGTATGGGAGACACTGGTCTCTATGGGGGACACTGGTCTGTGGGGGGGGACACTGGTCTGTGGGGGGGGACACTGGTCTCTATGGGGGATGCTGGTCTGTGGGGGACGCTGGTCTCTATGGGGGATTCTGGTCTGTGGGGGATGCTCGTCTCTATGGGGGATGCTGGCCTCTATGGGGGACACTGGTCTGTGGGGGGGGGACACTGGTCTGTGGAGGGGGGGGACACTGGTCTCTATGGGGGATGCTGGTCTGTGGAGGACGCTGGTCTCTATGGGCGATGCTGGTCTGTGGGGGACGCTGGTCTCTATGGGGGATGCTGGTCTGTGGGGGACACTGGTCTCTATGGGGGACACTGGCCTCTATGGGGGACACTGGTCTCTATGGGGGACGCTGGTCTGTGTGGGGGACGCTGGTCTCTATGGGGGATGCTGGTCTGTGTGGGGGACGCTGGTCTCTATGGGGGACGCTGGTCTGTGTGGGGGACGCTGGTCTCTATGGGGGATGCTGGTCTGTGGGGGGGACACTGGTCTCTATGGGGGATGCTGGT